CTTGTTTATGTTGTGATGATGTCACCGAGTCTTGTTTATGTTGTTGACACTTGTTTATGTTGTGATGATGTCATTGAGTCTTTACCTGATCCTTGTGCTGATCATCCAGCCGAAGCTGCGAGCCTCAAATCTTCGGCTCCTTCACGGAGAATCCTCTGAACGTTGCAGCTTCTGTTCGGTCGCTTCATTTCATTCCCCGACTCTTGAATCAAACGTTTTGCTCTTGGAGCTGTGGGAACTGAGCGCTGCGTGTTTTTACGAATCAGGAAATAAATGTTTTTAAAAGTTGTGATATATAAATGTTGCACCTTTCTCTTATTTCGCCTCTTCAAACCTTCGTGAGCAAAAGTAACGCAGAGAAAAGACTTCACGTTGAAAAAATCTTTTAAGAATAAAATGTAAAACTGACGTCCCCATGGGGTGCTTTGGGGGTGGGTGGGGTGGGGGGGTAAAAAATAAGAATGAAGAACAGAAAAATCACAATCCAGTATTGTGGCAGTTGTTTATTTGCTCTCTGCCACACTTTGATTTGAAAACGGCCTTTACTGTAGATGTAGACCTGGTGGTGGAGCAGTGAAGTGCAGGACGTCCAGAAGAAATATGAAGAGAGGAGACGGGAATATCAGGAGTGGGACGTATAGAACAAAGAGGGAGGAAGCAGCAAAGCAGAAGGTGAGGAGTTGTCTGGGAGGCTGGACACTAAAGAGAGCGAGAAGGACTTGTACTGACTGGTGAGACAGAGGGATCAGCCTGGAAAGGATGTGCAGCAGGTTAGGTTTGTTAAAGATAGGAAAGGTAATGTTCTAACAAGTGAGGAAAGTGGGACGGGAAGATGGAAGGAGAACTTTGAGGAGCTGATGAATGAAGAGAATGAAGAGTAGAGGTCCAGGAAGTGGGAAAGATCAGTGAGGGTGAAGTCCAGGAAGTTCTGAAACGAATGAAGAAGGTGAAGGCAGTAGGACCTGATGACCAGTGGAGGTTTGGAAATGTCTTGGAGAGATGGCAGTGAGGTTTTTGACTCAGATATTCAATGACATATTTGAGGGTGAGAAAATGTCTGAGGAATGGAGAAGAAGTGCTGGAGGCCATTTTTAAGAACAAGGTGATGTTCAGAGTTGTAGCAACCACAGGGGAATTAAGATGATGAGTTGTGGCTGAGCGGGGACCATGAGCAGCAGTATGGCTTCATGCTGAGACGGAGCACCACATGAAGGTCAGGAGATGTATGGATGCAGCTGGAGAGGACGTGGAGGAGGGTTCACTGGAGCGACACCCGAGGAGGGAAACACCAAAAGAAGAAAAGGTCGGTTCTCCGTTTGAATTATTGACTGATGTTTAAACATTTCTGTTGAAAGTCACAACATTTGAATTCATTTACTTGATTTTATTGATAAAATGAGTCGACATAAAGCACAGAAGAATATCAGACTGATCAGAATTTTCTAAATAAATCTTTTACAGACTGAACGTGTTTTCAGGTTTTTCCTGGAGCGTCGCGTTTGTTGATGCGGTCAGTGAAGATGAAAGTGTTGGAGTCCGTTCCTTCAGGTAAGATCATTCAAACAAGACTTTCACTACTTTACACACGACGTGCTGTTGGTTTGAACTTTTAATTTAAAATCAAAACGTTCAGCGGGTGGTCTGGTTTGGTTGGAAGCCCTCTCACCTCGACACGGTGCAGACCACAAACACACGAGACACGTCCTGGTGTGTGTTCTACACGGACTGTTTGAACTCTCTTCCTGCTACACGTCAGCTGCTGCTCTTCAAGATCAGGACCTCCACCACACAGGAGCCTGAAGGTTCTACATCTTAGGAGGTGTTCCTGGGACTTCACTCTTCTGTTGTCTCAGACCAGCATGCTTTGATGTCCTGCTCCACTAAGGTCTGGACTCTCCACGTCGTCTACATTTCTTCTTCCAGGCCTCGATATGACTCGAGGTTTAGTTCCTCCTGGCTGTTCCAGTCTCTTGGGATCACTGCATGTTTGTCCAGCACCACGATGTCTGGTTGGGACGTCATCACCTGTTTGTCAGTGTGGATCTGGAAGTCATCTTAGCCCCGTCCTCCTCCCTCCTACTTTCACTGTTGGACCTCCAGGCTCAGATGTTCCTGCACATTACTCCTGGTTGTGGAGCTCCATTTACTTTTTGCCCGTCTGCGTCTGATCTCACTTCAGATAAATGTGGACTCAGGACTTGAGCCTCCATCCTGGGTCCTGTCTAGTGCTCTGGGATCTTGTCCCTTTTTGTAAAGAAGAGTGGTCCAACATGTATCTCAAACGATTCTGTTGTTCCTCCTGTTGGCTGTTTAAATGATTTAGGTATAAACTGCTTCTAATTTTTGTGTTTTTTTATTTATTTATACCTGGTCACCAAATAATGTTCTTGTGTCGTGATACACAAATGTTTTCAA